TCATCACATGATTTTAAATTTAAAGGGTCATAGCACTTACGTGAAATATTATCATTTCAAAGTGGATACCTTGTGGACAGTCATTAATTAAAATTAAATAATCTTATGACACCCAACTGCTATAAGATGGCTATTACTCAGTACCAGTATCACCAACCAGTCAGAATTTTTTGAAATTATTTTGAAGGGCCAATTATACCAATACCCATGTCTTCCCAATGGCCTTTCTAGCTGTCCGCGAAAGTTTACAAAGCTACCTAACCTAGCTGTTATACAGTTTTGTAGAAAAGAGGTCATGTTTCTTCAGGCTATATTCATTTGATGATGCCTATTTGCAGGGCAACACATATCATGATTGTGCCTGTAATGTTGTAGATCGATACATTGTTCACCCAGGGGTTGGTTATACACCCAAATAAATCTGTGTTTGAACCAACACAAATTTTAGAGCTTTGGGGGTTCCTACTCATGACTCCATTCTTATGAGAAATTAACTCTAACATTACAGAAAGTAGAAAACATTATGAGTGCATGTACCTTAGTTTTAAACAAAAGCAGAGGGTTTCTATTCGCCAAGGTTTCTCATGTAATTGGACTTCTAGCTGGTATCCAGTTTTCCTGGTCTTATGTTTGGCCCTTTCTATTATCGGGCTTTGGAACATGATAAAGTCATAGCCATGCAAATTTGATGGTTATAAAAAGTTATCACAGAGTGCATGCTATTGAACAACTTCAATGGTAAATAGCATCACTCCCTACTGCCTACAATGAGGTCAGTCATGGATCACCAGATATTGTGATAAATACAGATGCCTCTTTGTCTATTTAGATCAGGGGGGGGGCGGGTTATTGAAAAGATCACTTGTGGAGGTCACTGGTCTCTAGTAGAACAGACCTTTCATATTTATTTAGTTATTTAGAATTGCTCGCTACAGTATTTTCCATGTTTTGAAATCTTTTCAGAACCGTTTAGAGAAAAAATATGTTTGGGCCTTTATTGATAATAACTATGAAATGGGTAGCCACTCTGATTTATGCAATAAAATTACCAGAACAATGTGGGAATGGTGTATTTTTAAGCATATTTGGATATCAGCTGCTGTGCCAAGGCAAAGGACCTCTGTCCCATGTGATAATGGCTTCTGAGCTGATTGGCATTCAGATTCCACATTTGCAAAATTTTACGATAAATATATTGTGGAAGAGAATTTTGGTGGCAAGCTTTTAAACAATACATTTAACCTGACTATAATCTATATATTGTTCAGTTATAGTATGAGTTGCTGTTAGGTTAGTTTTGGGATAATTAAAACTACTATGCATGTTAATACTTCATGTGACTCATTAAAGCCCCGTTTACACGACAGTCATTTTGGGTACAGCACGCTTAAATTTTAGCACGCGGACCCATGCTTTTTGGTCCGCCTGTTGCGTTTACATGACGAAATTTTTGTTCTAAAACGTTTGAGTTCGGCACCCTTAATCTGGGAACGGCACTCTTACATTCAGAGTCAAAACCTTGACTTCATGACATGAAATATCTGATCTATTCAGCCATAACTTTTTGGTGTGGCATATAGTGCATTAAACTTTATTTCGAGCATTAAATTAACATTTCGTTTTTACCAACTTCCTCAGCTTTTTCCCCAGTAAAATAAGCAGAAACTATATTTTTATTGAGATAGTTTAATTTTTCGAAAATTTGTATTAAAGTATTTCCAGACAATTATTAACATTTTTGTAAAAAAATACAAAGTTTGTGCATTTCCATGCATGAATGTATTTTTTCAACTGTAAGTTTATAAACTCATATATAAACCTATAGCAAAATCTGTACTTGCTGCATGGTGCTTGAAAAGCCATTACATGAAAGTGTTTTAATTTCTAAGCTGTAGATCATGATATTGAACCGAAATTAGTATAGGCCACATTAGGTGGCGTGACAAGGGGCGGGGACTTTTATAAACAAGATTGACATTTTGAAGTAAGAGCAAAGTACTTGGAGTTGATAGACATGGAATAATAAAACAACATTGAGACTGTGAGAAATTTAATATATTTTAGGTTGAAGTTTTGTAAGTTTTATTTTTGGATTTTTCGATTAAATAATTAATAGTATACTACGTGAGTAATGAGTTCGGTATACTAGTGGTGCCGTGACCAGGATTCGAGAGGAAAAAAAGCGACGAAAATTAAACACACAAAGCGGCGAAATACGAAGGAAACACTGTTGATTTATCATTATGAGCGACGAAGAGGCGAGCGAGATTACAAACGCAGGTGAGCAAAAACTCGAAGGAGATATTGCATGAGAAAGAGATTTCTAAGTTGAAGTATTTCTTAGAAGAAACAAATGAAATTATTCAAGCGAAAGATTACGGTGAAATGGAAGCTATAAACAATGGCGCTGGGAAAATAATTGTCAAAATATCGGAGGTAATTTCACAAACAGAAGAGTTGAAAATCGATAACGGCCAAACACCGCGTTCAGTTAGACAGTGGAAAAAGGAAACAAGAGCTAAATATGCAGCGCTGATCGAAGACAAAGAGAAAATAGCACAACAACTAAAGGAAAAACAAGAAAAGGCTTATGACGAAGCTGAATTACGACGGCTAGAATTGAAAGATAAACAATTTCAACAAGAAGAACAACGACGAGCTGAAATTCGCGAAGCACAAGAGGAACGCGAACGACAATTATGGCAAGAAAGGCACGAAGCTGAATTACGCATGACTCAGAGAAAGATTGAAATAGGAAAGACCGCTCGTTCATCTGCAGCAAAATTACCAAAGTTAAAAATAACACGTGAGAACATGTTTTTGACACTTGTTCACGAAAAGGCGAGTACAGCCGAAGAAAAATACGGGTTTTTATTGGAAATGGTGAGCCCAAAGGTGAGGGAAAAGATTGCTAATTTGAAACCAGGTGAAATCGGTTACAAGATTGCATGGGAGAGATTAAAAAGCGAGTATGGTCACCCCAAACATGTTATCAACGCCCATATGGATGCCATAATTAACTTAACTCCAGTAAGAGGACATAATTATGAAAAAGTTCAAGATTTCTACGAGAAATTAAGCAAGAATTTCGATGCACTTCAAACTCTGGGAGAAAGTGAAAAACTTTCTGGATTTGTTATGACCACAATCAACAAGTTGCCCCACATAAAACCCGACTTGGTTCGAGCGGACGATGACTGGGAAGAATGGTCCATGGAAGTACTAATAAAGAATTTGCAAAAGTGTCTTCGACGGAATAAAGTGGATGATGCGAGCAATCAGAAAGAAACCAGAGACAAGAAACCAGAAGGACACTGGTATCAAAAGTCATCAGGACCCCCAAAACCTCACTGTGTTTTTTGCGCGAACAATGAACACTGGAGTGATCAATGCAAAACAGTGAAACAATTGGCCGACCGAAAGAAATTCTTCGCTGAGAAGAATCTGTGTTTTAACTGTGGTCACACAGGGGAAATCAATGCCGAAGTCGTGGTTGCCTGAAGTGTAATGCCAAACATCACACAAGCCTGTGTGATAAGAATGAAGACAACCAAGAGAACAAGACATCATTAACTGGATTTACCACATTAACCGAGAAGAAATCGCTTCCAGCCATTATACCTGTCAACATAAAAGGACAGACCCTGTGGGCATACCTCGACACTGGCTCGAGTTGAAACTTTATTTCACGCGAGGCTGTGAAGAAACTCGATTTGAATCCAACACATCATGAATCCCTCGAGATTGTAACCGTGAATGGTACCTCTACTCAATCCATGGCTATTTTCCAAACAACCATAACTTCTCTTGATGGGAAAGTACAGGAAGAAATCGAACTGACTGGTTCCAGACTTCAAGATTTTACCACAGTTAAGAGACCAGATATGAATGAACTCAAGATGAAGTATACCCATACTCAAGACAAAAGATTTTACATGACCGCCAAAGGGGAACATCCAATTCATCTCATACTCGGTGATGGCACATACAGCAGGATCCGAACTGAGAAAGTTTACAAAGGAAATCCCGGAGATCCCCTTGTGGAGGAGACAACATTCGGATGGGTCATTCATGGTGGTGAGGATTATTCGAGCGATGCATGTGTGTTCACTAGAGAAGTTTACGATTACGAACAGTTATATAGTCTTGATGTTCTCGGAGTAGAAGATCGCGGTGAAAATGATCAAATGCAAGTGCTTGCTGAGTTTCGAGAGAACATAACCAGACAAGAAGATGGCAGATACCAAGTTAGCATACCATGGATTCCAGGGAGTAAGTTGACAACTACAAACGAACAACCAAGCAGAAGACGACTGTTCAACGTGAACAAAAAGTTAGCGAAAGACAAAAACCTGAAGCAAGAATATGAGAAGATTATCGATGATCAACTAGCAAACGGTGTGATTGAGAAAGCCCCAGACGAGCCGTCAGGAGAGCGAGTGTACTACATGCCACATAAGCCAGTCGTAAGGCAAGACGCAGCGACAACGAAAGTGAGAATGGTCTTTGATGCGAGCTCCAAACCCCATCCACTAGCATCCAGTATTAACAATTTTATGTTTACTGGGCCTCCCCTCCAACCGTTATTGTGGGATATTATGGTGAGAGCAAGAATGTCGTCAAATCTGCTTCTTGCAGACATTCAAAAAGCCTTTTTACAGATAGCAATCAAAGAAGAAGACAGAGATGCCTTCAGATTTCTCTTCGAGCGCGACGAAAAAGAGGAACATTTTCGGTTCGCCAGAGTTCCATTCGGGGTTGAAGCCAGCCCATTCTTACTCGGTGCTACATTAGAATACCACTACGACCAACAATCACCAGAATTAGAGGAAACAGTGACTGCCCTTAGAGAAAATACGTATGTGGACAATATCATGCAAGCGGGAAATAACATTGATAAGTTGGAGAAGTTTAAGAAAGAAAGTGAAGTTATTCTTGAGAGTGCAAAATTACCGATTCACAAGTGGGAGTCGAACATCGCGACATTAGAGGATGAGAACATGTCAAATCCTAGCAAAATTCTTGGTCATGTTTGGGACAAGCGTGAAGACACTCTAGAAATACAAGTACCAGCGGTACCTGAGACAGAACCAGTTACGAAACGAAGCATCTTGAGTCAGCTTGGCAAAGTGTACGACCCATTGCGAATAATATCACCCACGATGGCCGAAGGAAAACACATTTACAGAGAGGCTTGTGAAGAGAAAAAGGGATGGAATGCCGAGGTTTCACCAGAATTGAAGATACAGTGGCACAAATGGAACAAACAACTAAAGAACGTGAAAGTACCGAGGAGCTTAACAGGAAATTCGAAGGAAACGAAGGCTATCGAGCTCCATGTGTTTGCCGACGCAAGCAATCTCGCATGTTCTGCAGTAACCATAGCACTAGTTGAACATTCATCCGGAACGATCAAAGGGTTGCTGACATAGAAGTCCCGGATTTCAAAAAGAAACACTTCCATACCCAGATTGGAAGTTGTAGGAGCTCACATGGCTGCGAACATGGCGAAGAATTTACTTAACGCTCTTCACCGGCAACCAATCAAGACCATTGTGATCTGGTTAGATAGCATGGTAGTGCTTTACTGGTTGACCAATCCAGGGAAACCATGGAAGACGTTTGTCTCCAATCGAATCAAAAAGATAGCTGAGATAACCAACGAGCTTGGTATCATTTGGAAATATTGCCCGTCAAATATGAACAATCGTCCATTAACCTATGTCGAAAGCGAAAGTGGGGAGGAAGAAGTACTAACGCCAAACGTTCTCATCCGAGGGAGAAACACTTACCTTCTTGATGACATAGAGAATGACGTAGACGAGCTTACGAAGATGCAAAAGAGAATCGCCAAAGCAAAGAACAACGCTTGGAAAAGATGGCAACGAGAATACGTACACAGTTTAATGGAAAGCCAACGAGTAAACGGAAAGCCAGTTAACACGCCTGAAGGCGGTGAAGTAGTTTTAGTCGTGGGAGAAGAAAAGAACAGGAGCGAATGGAAGAAGGGAAAGGTAGTGCGACAAGTCAAAGGAAAGGACGGAGTGGTACGTGGCGTGGTACTTTTACACAAGGGACACACTATCGAAAGACCGTTACAGTTGGTGTGTCC